TCTCTCTCTCTCTCTCTCTCTCTCTCAAAATTGAAAATTCACTTACATTAGTGCTTAATGTAAGCAAATTAAGGATCCGGTAGTTTAGGGAAATTACCTTTTTTGACTTATTTTTTACCATATTTTATTTTAGAAATAACATTATGTCAATTAGACTGAAAAATGCCATCTAGCAGTTAGAAAACTACTATTCATAAAAATATTAATTATGGGTCAGTATTTCACTCATTGACCATTCGTTATTTCAATAGTAAAGGGGCAATAAAAGGATTAAATTTTAGCAAATTATATATTAATCATTTATTCTAGGGTTTACCTGTTTAGATTTTTTACTCAATTTGCTACCTGAAACTGAGGTTCCTATAATATAGAGTATGTTTATATAAATACAATAATAAAATATTAATATAAATTTATAATAATAATTTAATTTACAATAAAACAATTAGGCGAAAATAGTTTAATTTCTATTTTTATATGAATTTAATATCTAGTATATTTTAGAATTTTGGGAGACTGGATGAATTTATTACTTCAAAATGTGCCCTAGGTTATTATTATATTCTAGTATATTCTAGTACTATTAGAATCTAGTATATTCACTTACTCTATCGAATATAATATTTACTTTAATATTAAAATACTTTTATTAAATTGTTTAATTTATATATTATTATAACCTAGATTATTGTTACATTATATTTTTAAAATATTCTACTACACAAAACATTTAAAAATATAATCTATTATTAATTTATGAAATTTTAATTAAAATGTCATCATGTAGGGTAAATAAACAAAATATGACTCGCTCATATTATAATAATTTTCGTAAACTGTACTACGTGACCATGTTCAAACAACAATTGAATAATTTTTTATTTGTAAATATATATTCTGTAGTAAACATAAGTTTAGTGTACTCCAGTACAAATAGCATTCAATAACACTTTAATAACATTCAATGGGAAACATGTTCAAGGGTAAATTATTGATACTGTACATATAATACCAGACATGTCTATCAAAGTGTGCATTACATCGGTACAATTTCATGTAGACTATTAATTTAATGTGGCATACACTATTAATAGAAATAAATATTTATGAGCTCAATTGATAATTGGTAAACACTTTAAAAGTAATCTCCTGTTTATAGTTATTTAGAAATGCCATTCAATTTGTAAATATTATAAATATTAGGAAATAATTTATAATTCATTTGAAATCAAATGGTATATAAAGTGAAGTACTTTATGTGAAAAATTATAAAATATATTTCATTTAAATAAAAGTTATTATTAAGTTAAATTATATTTACGCAAGTTTAAATCAATCAAGGTATTTGTGTTAAGTACATTTCTATATTATAATTTATAATTTTAAATAAAATGTTTATTTTAGTTTGACTTCATAAAATGTATAGTATATCGCATTTATAATTCAATTTCATTTCTAAATTAATTATTATGTTTATAATAATTAAATAATTACTAAAATTGCGTGTAAATTATAATTTACTTATTAATCAAGCTTTAATATTAATCTAGATAATTAATAATAGAATCAAAGCACGTAACAAACATGGAGATTTACCTGGATAATGAGTCAAAGCATTACGTGGTCGGCGATCGGGTCACCGGTAGCTTAAAATTCGCCTCAACTGGTCATTTACTGGCATCGGGTGTCCGGATAAGCCTGGTTTGTGTGGGTGAGGCCAAATGGAATGAGCAGGTACCATCACCCATGTACAATGGTGCAGTCATGAACCATAATAATAGAAAGTTTTTGGACGTCCCCTTTGATATGAACAAAGATGGTAATAGATACATTACAATGATTTGACCATGGTGTTTAATATAATTATGCAATGTTACAAATAGCTCATGAAAAACCACTTGATCGTGGTGTACATACATTTCCGTTTGACATAAAGATACCTGATCAGTGAGTCAATTATTTTAGAAAAATTAATTTAATTTGAAGTTTTAACCGATAATTATTAAAATAAAATATAAATTAGTTTCTAAATTGTAATAAAACTAACCAATCACAAATATCCTTGCAGTGGATTACCCTCGTCATTCGAGGACACTTACGCCTGGATCCACTATAACGTTGAGGCGGCTATTGATGAGACCAATAGTGATGAGGTGAACACAATCAAGACCCGGATCACTGTTGACTCGCCAATGAGACACAATCTTAAGGTTGACCAAGACCATTTTTACAATAAATTATTACAAACAAATAAATAAATTATATATTGTATTAAATAGGTATTCGTGGGCGGACATGCTGACAAAACATTGTCGGTGTTCCCTAATATGGGGTCTGGATCTGTGAGTACATTGAATTATATAATTGTCTTAATTTAACTTGATCATTTGTAATGTATTAATAAACATAAACTATAGATTGCATTTTACGCCAGTTTATCCCAAAAAGGCTATTTACCAGGTTTGTTCAAATCTCTATCTCTATCTCTCTCTCTCTCTCTCTCTCTCTCTCTCTCTCT